TGGCTGGATCCCGGAGCTCCTGCCAGTACAAGAGCCAGGAGTGTGACCGTGGGAAGCTACTTTGCCTCCAGCCTCTCCACAGAGCAGGCTGAGCACAGGGCAGCTGGGGGAGCTGGGCTGGGGTGGCACTGACAGATCCTGGCCACCAGCCCAACCCCACTGCAGTCACTGCCCAGTTTGCTGCAGGAGCTGCCCCTCCCCGCGGCACACAGGGGTTAAATCAGTGGCATCTCTGCCGTGACCAGCAGATCCCAATGGCTGCAGTGTCACCGCGGGTGACCCAGGAGTGTGAGCTCCCTCCAGCCTCCCAGTCCTGGACCCTTTCCCGTGGGATGTGTGCCTTTAAGTTATTTATAACCTGCTGGCCTGAGCACGGAGCCTCCTGCCTTAAAGGTGCAGTTTGCAGGGCATGTGGGGAGCTGTGTCCAGCCTGGCCATGTGCCTTGGAGCCCTGTGGGGTTTGGGGGAGGAATCAACCCAGCAACTGCTGGTTTTGGGGGGTTATTGGGCTTTATTACTTTGCACTAGTCATCTCCTGCTGTGGGCTGAGGTGCCAGGAGGGAACCAAGTGCAGCCACAGAGGTTGTCACCCTGACTTCCCCAGCCCACCAGTACAGTGAGATGGTCCTGCTGTGACCAAGGGGCTGCAGATCCTGCATGACCCAGGCATGAGTGTGGGACATGGGCACTGCCCTCAGTGCTGTTTCCTTTCTCCCTGACAGACTCGGTGTTGCATCTTGTTGAATAAAGTCAGATGAATGAGAAAAGCTCACGTGTGGTGTGACTGTGCTTTCTGCAGCCCCTGGGAGGATGGGTGAGGGTTTGGGGCTGAGGGAGAGGGGAGATATGCTGTCCTGGGAACGATGGGGCTGGAGAGTGTGGGCACCAGTTGTGCTGCTGGTGCCACTCACCCCCTGAAAGCACAGCCCTCCCTGCTGTGGTGTCCTGCCCCTTGAGCACAGCCTCAGCTCAGGGTTCTGATCGGGTTGTCATGTCACAGGCTCATGGTGGCCCAAAGCAGAGCTCAGTCCCTCTTGCTCTGCTGCAGATAAACCCAGCAGAGGCCATGGGGCTGTTCGTGGCTGGATAATAGCTGGAAATGAGCTGCAGATAAAGGCACACAATGGGGCTGGGGCTGTTGTTTAGTTTCTCTGGCCAAGCCAGTGCAGGGCAGAGCCTGTTCTCTGCTGAGGGCCTCTCCAGTGAGCATGGGATGGGCTAAAAATACCCTGGAGAGAATGAACTATGGGTGATATGGGGCGGTATCGCTGCCAGTGGCACAGGAGGGAGGCACCCACCCAGCTGCATTGCCCTGGGCTGGCAGCTGAGCCCACCCTTGGCTTCCTCCCTGCTGGGGATGAGGGGGGTGAAATCCCTCGGGATGTGGGTGCAGACCACCAGCTCCAAGTCCTCCTCTGCACCCTCCATGAGGATGCTGGGGTAGACTCTCCCTGCCCTTCTCCCACTGTCTCCAGAGGGACCCTGCCCTGCTCCTACTATTGCCTGCTGGGACCCTTCAGTGCACCCAGTGCAATGTGGGGCACAGCCCAGTGCCCCCCAGGCACCAGCAGAGCTGTGGCTCTGTGGAGAGCAGCCTGGTGTGCCAGGAGGAAATGCCCGTGTGAAAGTGAGCGGAGCAGCCGCGTGTTTACCCACCAGCATCCCCTGCTCACCTCCCTCTCCCAGACTCCTATTTTTGTTGGCACTGGGGAGCATCATGCTTGTCCCAGCGACCCTGCAAGGTGGAAAACAAGACAGCAGAGACCCCCCTGGCCCAGCCACAGTGCCCTGGGCAAACACAGCTCAGCATCCCACTATTGTTCCCGTGTTGTGACAAAGCTGCTCGGGGCAGCCGAGTGACCCCACACCACCCGTGCCAACAACAACAGCGAGGGGCTCACCTGTGGGACAGGGATGGGGAGGGGGAAGCAGCCCCCAGAAGGCAGGCAGGCAGCCCTTAGGCAAATAAAAGTTTGGAGCTGATAAGGGCCCAGTTTGGCCCAGCCAAGCCCTTTGGCACAGCCCAGAGACAGATAGCAGCCAGACGGATATGCACAGCCTTTCTCACACCTCTGTGCTCCCTCCTGAGTAAACAGGCCTCTCTGGTACCTTTCTGAGAACAGCATTTGCTGCCCCAACACCCAGCCCTGTACCGTGATGCTGAGTCCTGGGATGGCACAGTGAGGCTTTCCCCATGGGCACCCCCTGAGTTAGGAAACACTTTGGGGCAGCTCTGCC